CCACTGTGCTGGTTAGGAGTGACCTGTACCCACCTTGTGCTATTGTCTTCAGCTCTCCCAGGATTTCATGTAGCACTTTGGATGTGTCCTGGGAAGTTTGTCCCCTTCCGTCTTGATATTCTGGACCTTAATGGAAAGAATAAAGTTACATTTCTGCCCCAGCTCAGGCTGTGCAGTCAGTTAGGACTGACCTGTGACCACCTCCAGCACAGAGTCCAGCCAAGAAGCAGGGAAAGCCCTCCCTGTGCCCACAGTTGCAACCAGACCTCTCACGAGGAGCTCCCATCACACCTTGGGGCCCCCCCGTCCTGACTGAATAGCAGAACAGGGGAGGGGATCATGGAATGATGTGGCACACTCAGGCTTTTCTCTCCATTCCTGCCCAAATTTCTCTTGCAGGTGCCCACCTTCCCTTTCCAGGCTTGGTGGGTACTGCCTGGATGGACACTCTCTCTGACCCTGGTCAGAGACCTCACTGAACAGGACTCAGGGGGCCAGATGAAGTGCAAGGAGGGACCAACCATCCCTTGGAGTGAGATGGACAAAACCCCTCCCTGTGTCAGGAAGGGCCACCCCCAGCTCTCCTCCCACCCCAGCCCAGCACCCACACCCTGAGGGGACACACTCGGGCCCTCGGGAGACACACACGAACCTCTCTCTCCCTCATTGCCCTTTCTCTGGCACAGGCAGTGCTTGCCTGTCCCCAGCTCTCAGGTCTTGCCTCCCACTTACGGCCCCTGGCAGGACTGCCCAGTGCCTGCATAATTTGGAAAACATTCCTCTAGCCCAGCAGGGGGGCCTTCCCCAGGACTGGCCAGCACTGCCAAGGATCAGGGAAAGGTAAAGCCTCAGTGTGGGTCAGGCACAGAGGCTGCAGGAGGACGGTGCAGGATCCCCCCAGGCCATGCTGGACCCGTCAGTGCAGCCCTTTGTGCCCCCGTTCCCAGGAGGGATCCCCTCTGTTGTGCCAGGGCCTCCAGGCCTTTCCTCATGGGGATCTGCCAGAGCTGGGGGCTGGCCCTGGCCTGCCCACCTACCCACTGCCCACGGTCGCCACGGAGCAGCCCCGACACCCCCAGCTGGCAGGGCCACCAGGAGGAGGATGAGGGCCAGGGCCCACCGTGCCTGCACCATGCTGGCACTGCTGGCACTGCTGGCACAGCTGGCACTGCTGCTGCTGGCACTGCTGGCACTGCAGGCACTGCCACTGCTGGCACTGCTGGCACAGCTGGTACTGCTGGTACTGCTGCTGCTGGCACTGCTGGCACTGCTGGCACTGCTGGAACTGCTGGAACTGCTGGAACTGCCACTGCTGGCACTGCTGCTGCTGGAGCGGTGCCTGCAACACCTGCCCTGCATTGCACACCATGGCTTGGCCTAATGACCTCACAGGGGGCTTTGTGACCTCACAGGGGCTTCTACCGGCAACATTCCCTTCTCCAGGGGAGGCTGTAGCAGGGAGATTGCTGAAACTGAAACCAGTTCACGGTTAAAAGCTCAACAAAACAACATTTATTACAAAGAAGTACTCAACAAAACGAGAAACCGAGAGACAGGAAAGAGAAGGGAAACAAGCTCCCAAGACAACCCCCCACTCACTCAGGTGTTACTTACAAGGTTGTCTTACTGAGCCTGAAATGTTTAGAATTCCCCATAGCAGAAGCTGCATTCCCGGAGCCTCAGCAGGCTCACAAAATGTCAGGTGTCCCTGCAAAGCCACGCTGTCCTCCATGTGAGCCTTGAGTGTGCTCCCAGCAAGAGCTCTCTGCTTTTTATACAATGAACCTGTGACTCCTACCTGGGCAGGTTTGGCAGCACCACCCAGCCAGGGGCCTTTGGTCCCTCCCCACTCTGTGTAAGTGGTACCCCTTCTGTGCATGCATGTGTACACATCGATGGGATTTCCTAAATGAGTCTGGGGGCCTCCTTCAGCATCCTCCTCGTCACTTTCTCCTTCAGATGCCCTTGGAGGGCCATAGGCCAATAGCCAGCCCCCAATTAATTTCAGTTCATACAAGATGCTTCCTTCAAGGATGAAGTTCTCCTTTCTCAGGGTTTGTTTTCTCATAACTTGGCAGGAAAAGAACAGACTCTTGCAGGTGGCTGGGCCAAACACAGACCAGAAGTAGCAGTGTCTCATTAAGCACCAATGCAGAGGCCCAAACATTCTGCAACTGGTGGTGACAGGTCAAGCAGGCACAGCCCTTCCCCAGCGCACACAAGGCTCTCTGGGGAGCTGCTCTGGAAAACTCTGCAGAGACTACCTGGGACTTCACCTGTCTCCAGAGCAAGCCTCAATATCCTGGAGCTGCCTAGGGGTGTCAGGCAGCTGCCAGCACAGACCTGCCCTGAACATGGACCTTGGAGGAGTTGGGAACTGGCACCCTTTGTGCCCCACATTGGGCACCAAAAGGACTGTCCTGGTTAAACCCCAGCTGGCAATTAAGCACCACGAAGCTGCTCATTCACTTTGCCCTCAATGGGATGGGGAGGGAACTCAGGAAAGCAAATAAAATAGACCTGGTGGGCTAAGAGCAGTTTAATAACTGGAAAAAAGTACACTTTAATAATAATAATAATAATAATAATAATAATAATAATAATAATAATAATAATAATAATAATAATAATAATAAAAATAATAATAATAAAAAGGAGAGTGAGAGAGGGAAAGAACACTCAAGAAAACAAGTGGTGTGCATTACAATTTGTCACCAGCTGCTGACCAATGCCAAGCCAGTCCCCAAACCCCCACCGGCCCCCCGTTCCAGGTAACTCCCCCAGTTTATATACTGGGTATGACATACTGTGATGTGCATTATCCCCTTGGCCAGTTCAGGGGAGCTGTCCCTGCCATGCTCCCAGATTTTAGGGCACATCCTCCCTGACAGAGTATGAGACACGGAAAAGTCCTTGGCTCAGAGCAAGCAGCTCTTTGGGGCCACCTCTCCCTTCTCCCTGATTTGCTGCCCCATCCCAATGGCCCAGCAGCTCCCACTGTGGGAACCCCCTGGAACCACCAGCTCCCCACGTGCCTGGCACAGAGCTGGGGGGGCCAGCTGAGTGGGTGTCCCAAAGGGTCCCCCTGGCCCAACACAACTCCCACTTGTCCAGGTCTGGGGGACTCTATGTGGCTGCTTCTTTGACCCTTGGAGCTTCTGCCTCCACTGGACCAGCACCAGCTCACCTCTGCTGGTCACCTCCATGCCGGGCCGTGGTGCCACTGCTCTGGGGGGCCCAGGAGCTGCTGAGACCAGAGAGGTCCATCACAACACCTCACCACCTACCAAAGGAGTCTGAAAGAGTGCAGTGGCCACCACGCCTGGGGACCCTGCTGGCAGCAGCACAGAGGGGACAGCAGTGCCCCCAGCCCCCACAGTGCTGTTGATATTCCTCATGGCCACCATCCCAGAGGCCTCCCCAGGCAGCCACATCTCCCAGGGCAGCCACATCCTCCTCAAGGCACTGCCCAAGGAAATGCTTTGGGATTGCTCCCTGATGGGACAGGAGGACTTCAGCAGTGTCCTCAAGGCTTGGGACCCTGGAACCGTCCTCCCCAGAGACACTGGCTGGCTCTTGCTGCTGGCAGAGTTGCTCAGTATCGCTGCAGCCTCTCTGAGAGCACCAACAGTCCTGAGCCTGGAGCAAGTCACCACTGGCAGGATGGGGCCCTGGGAGCTGTGGTGGAGCGCAAGGATAGACCCACCACCATCCCAGCCTGGCAGGGGCCACACGAAAAGTGGGGGGAGCAGAAGAGAACCAGGTCAAACCTTCCCCCCAGCAAGTGCCAGGCTCTGGCAGCCAGCACTGAGGGGGATGGTGGTGGATTGGAGGTGTGGGTATATTTGAGAGTGGAATGGCGATAGATTATAACTTTATGAAACATTTACTCCTGGGTGTGTTCCACTAAAAGCCATTTCTCCAAATTGCTTTGTGCAGGAGGCGGAGGGAGCACTGGGGGCACTGTAAAACTCCACCCGTCCAAGATAAATTTAAGATGTTGTGCTTTATCCCCATGTGTGGATGAACAATGTGTTCAGCCCCAAACCAGATTTAACAGATGCCAGTGCACTAATGCAAAAGAGATGGGTTTTGGATAGAATTCCTAACTAGTTTCAGTTAGTTCTTTAAACAGCTTAAAAATAATCGGAGAAGTATCTGCAGAATTGTAAATAAAGAGCAAAGTATGCTGTTCCAGGGTTACATGAAAACGTTCACAAGTGAGACCTATGTCTGCTTAAAAAGAAATACCTGGATCCTGGGAACTCCCAGCTCTTAAGCCTCAGCTCTGTGCCTGGGAAGATCATGGATAAGATTCTGCTGGGAGCTCTGCTGAGGCCCGTGGAGGGCAGGAGGTGATTCGGGGCAGCAAGCAGAGCTTCTCCATCTCTCTGTGATGGAGTGACTTCAGCCTGGTATGGGGCAAGGGCGCTGGATGGCACTTCTCTCTCGGCTGTTGTAATGCCTTGGACAGGACCCCCCCAACACGCTTCTCTCCCAGGGAGAGGTGGATTTGCGGGGGGTGTCGGGTGAGTGTCCAGCGGGTGAGGAGTTGGTTGGGTGGTTGCTGCCTTGAACAAGTTGATCCAGGGGAGCAGCTGATGGAATCACTTTGGATTTCGGCACAGTTTTGATCCCGTCTGTCCCAGGCCCCTCCCGGACCGGGGAACCCGCGCCATGACGGGCCCCCGCCCCTTCCCCCCCCCCCTCCCTCCCTCCCCCGCGGGTGGTGGAGCCCCGGCGCCACCCGGCGGTTCGGAGCGGGAACTGCAGCCCCGCGGGAGGGGCACGCGTGGGGGGAACGGGGAGGATGGGCGATGGCTGCCGACGTGTCGGCGCGGGGCCTGGGCGTTCCCTGGTGCTGGGAGGCCATAGGGGGTCCCGGTGGCCCCGCAGAGGGGGCCGGGGGTGCCCTGGGGACCCCGGCGGGGCTGGAGGGACAGCCGGGGGGGGCGGAACGCGGGAGCGCAGGACGGGTTCCGGGCGGACCGCGCGGGCAGGACCGGAAGCGCGGCCGAGCCCGTTGCCGTGACAGCGGGCCCGGGTCAGCCATGGAGCCCGCGCTCACCGACATGTACGACCAGGCGCTGCTGGGCATCCTGCAGCACGTCGGCAACGTGGAGGAGTTTCTGCGCATCCTCTTCGGCTTCCTCTACCGCAAGACCGACTTCTACCGGCTCCTGCTGCGGCCCGGGGACCGCCTGGGCTTCCCGCCCGGCGCGGCGCAGGCCATGGCCCTGCAGGTACCGGCGGGGCCCGGGTTTGGCACGGCCTGGCCGTGCTGGTGGCTGGCGCCGACCCCTCCGCGGGGCTGCGCTGAGCAGGCCGTGTGCCCCCGTCCGGGCAGGGCAGGGCAGGGCAGGGCAGGGGTATCCGGGGCGGGCGTCGGGCAGCACAGCAGCCCCCGCGGCGCCGGCGCTGCTCAGAGGGGTACGGGAGGATGCGGGAGGTAGAGGGTACATCACCCTGGGCGGTGGCGGCAGCGTCACCCTCGTAAGAGAACGAAGAACCTCGGGGGCAGGCGGAGGCTGCGAGACCCCGGTGGGAAGAGCCGGGGCACTGGGCCAGGGTGGGCTCACGGTGGGGCTTATGGGGAGCCGCCATCGGGAGCCTGGGAGCAAGGAGCCCGGAGAGCGGCCGGGAGCAGGGGGGGGTTCGCGGCGGTCGTGGCGGGTGCGGGTCTGGGCTTCGCTCGGCGAGAGCTTGTGGTGGGCACCGGGCTGGCCCCGCTCCTGGGCGGGAGGGGCTAAAGCCCCGACCTGCCGGCTCGCGGCTGGGGCGGCTCTGACTCGGGGCACTTCTGGTCTGTTATTAATCTTCATTAGCAGAGAGGAAAACAGGTTGTAAAGCTCAGGGTGAGGCTGGGTTTGGGGTGTTTGGTGTTTGTCTGCTCGGACTGGATGAGTTTTCCTTCCCAAGTGCATCAGGCCTAGGGTGCTGTGGGTGGGGGGATGGGGGCGTCCCTGCCCCTTCTTGCGGTGCCCCGTGGCACACGGGGGTCCTTATCACCTCCCAAGGCAGCTTCTGCTGTGCTCTGCGGGCAAGGGGGGACCCCAGAGAGGGCTCAGGCTGCACAGGGAGGGCATGGAGTACAAAATACTGGGCAAAGGGGCAGCGCTGGTGGGGGCCCGGTGTGGTGTCCCCTGGGGCCGTTTGGGGCTAGGCACAAGGAGGGAAGTGGAGCTCTGGCCACAGTGTTCCTGCCGCAGGGAGCTGTTGGTTGGGGCAGGCTGCAGCCAGAGGGACCCGGAACATGGGACAGTGCAGAATGGGCCCCTCTCTCATCCTGGCTTGGCTGCAGCCCAGGGCATGGACACGGGTCTGAGGTGCTGCTCTGTGTGACCCCTGTGGGTCTGGCACTCACCTCTCTGCTCCATGCCTGGGGAGGAAGGCTGGAGTGAGGGGCACAAGCCTCTGTCCTGCTGTGGCTGTGCTGGCAGGAGTGTTCCCTGAGCCACGTCCTGTGTGCTGCACCTCGTGGACCCAGAGGAAGACTCGAATCAAGCAGCACCATGGGCCAGGCGTGCCAGTCTGCTACAGGAAGCACTAAATCTGACTCCAAAACATTCCTGGGAAGTGAAGGAGGACTGTGTTTGACACTTGCACACTTTCCAGAACACGTTTACGGTGCCAGTGCCCTGGCACTTAGAGGGGAGAAGCTGCAGCCCCTTCAGGGAGCAGGCCCAGGGCCCAGGTCACCATCACCCTTCACTGACCTCCTGGGTTCACTTCTGACCTCCAGCCTGCACTGGACAAGCATGGCCTGGAACAGGGGTAAGCCCTGGAACATGGAGTGAGGGGAGGTTCCCTCGGAGCTCCTTCCCAGCCAGGAGCCGGAGCTCACCACTCTGCTTTTCGCAGGCTGGGGTGAGGTTGGCTGCCAGAAGATGACTGAAGAAACATTTTCAAAGTGCTCCCAGGAGCCAGGCTGTCTCTGAAGTGTGTTTGACGTGGCTGCGGGGACTTCTCAAAGAGTCACCAGCGAATTTTGTTGGTGACTGAAGCAACTTGGGGTAGGGAGGAGTGTGTGATGTCTAGAGAGGCAGGGACAGGAAGGAATAAGGGCCCCAAGTGTGTGATGCTGCTCCTCTCCTCCTTGGTGTCCCAGGTAGAGCTGGTGGCTCTGACTGCTCAGTTTGTTCTTTCTCTTCCAGGCATTCCGAGTGTTTGAGCGGATGGCCAGGCAGGATGACGAGAAGAGGCGGCGGGAGCTGGAGGCAAAGCTGAGGAAGAAGGAGGAGGAGGAGGAGGCAGCTGCAGCTGCCGAGAGGGTGAAGCTGTGCCCTGCGGCTCAGGAAGTTGAGGTGGAGACAACGGAGCACATCCCAGCACCAGATGTCGGGGGAGCTGTGGGCACACAGGAATCAGCTGCAGCCCAGGGTGCCGCAGCTCCCAGCTCTGTGTCGGTGGAATCTCTGGGGGCTGCTGCCCCAGCAGAGCTGCTGACGTAAGGATCTTTTACTTTCCTCGTGCTCCTGGTAGGGGGGAGACAAAACAACAGACAGGGTGTCCACTGTTTCCTGCACAACCGTTTTTGGGGGTTTGACCTTCCTCTGCAGGCACTTGGCCCTTCAGGAGACTGTGAAGATTTCCCTTGCAGGCTCCCATGGCTGGAGACATCATGTAACTCCCTGCAGGAGGGCAGGGTTGTTGTTCTGTGGGTGGTTCAGTGTCTCCTGCTCTGCTCTGAGGGGAGGTGACACAGCCCTGTATGCAGCCCTGCAGAGCTGGGCTGGGCCACGTGGCTCCTCCACGCACTGGCTTCAGTGAGCAGTGTCCCTTTGCTGGTGCTCACTGATGGAAGTCTTGGCACCAGCCTGCAACCCCTTTGTCAATGTTGGACTCCCCAGCACACTGGTAACATCCCAGCAGCCATCTGGGAATATACACAGCTGCCTGCAATGCCTGTGGGTTGGTGCTGCCAGGCCTGGGACAGGCGGCTGTTGTGGCAAATGGGTTCAGAGCCCTCCAGAGCCCTTGGCTCAGAGCAGTGCCAGCTTTGAAGATCAAGCAGGTACTGTGAGTTTTCTCTATCTGGGCTTGGTGGCTTTCCAGCAGGGCCAGGCAGCCTCCGTTTGTACAGAAATGTCCTTGTGTCAAAGTCCTTGCAGAGCGTCTGGGACACTTCCAGCCCGAATCTGTGCTGAGCAGTGGCAGGTGAGCTCGGGCAGGCTGGTGAGGCCTCTGTGAGCCACTGAGTGCACATCCTGTGCAGGTGTCTCTTGTCCTTCCCTGAGTGTCACCTTGACCCCAAGCCAGGGCAGAGCTGCCCAACCCTCGGTCAGGGCCTCACGCCCATCAAGGTACAAGGTCCTGTGTCTCCTCACTGCCCACGTCGGGGGAGTGATGTCATGAGCAGGCCGTGCAGACCCTGCCTCCTCCTCCCTTCCCAGCTGTGTCTTGTCTGACCTCACGCCATGGCCACAATGCCCTTCTCTTGCTCGCTGTGGCTGTCCTGGCCATGTGTGGGGCTTCACTGCAGCCTGTCCCCACTGTCCCACTAGTATTTGGTGAGGAGGGCAGCTTGGGCTGGTGATCCCTGTCTTCTCAGGGATCATTGGGGAGAGCAAGGCACCAGAGGGAATCAGGCTCTAGTGGAAGAGCCCCAATCCTGGAAGGACTGGGATGGCCAATGCCCCTGAGGAACAGAGAGGATTTGGAGCCTCGACTTAGGGGCTGTCAACCCTTGGCATATGGAAGGGACAGTCTGAGGACCAAAATTTTGGGGACTATGAGACAATAAGTGGTACGAGTGTGCAGCTTTAGATTGAATATTAGAAAAAGGTTCTTTCCCCAGCGGGTGGTGGGGCACTGAACAGGCTCCCTGGGACTGGTTATGGCCCCAAGGCTGCCAGAGCTCAAAGAGTACTTGGACAACGCTCTCAGGCACAGTGGGATTGTTGTGGTTAGACCCCCTGAGCAGGGCCAGGAGCTGGTCTCGATGATCCTTGCGAGTCCCAGCTCAGGATACTCCACGATTCCATTATTGTAGGACAGTGGCTGAGTCAGGTCCTGCAGCCTTGGCTGGATGCAGTGGTGGGGCAGGGCCCGAGCGTGGTAGCTGTCTGGGCAAGGGAAAGGGTACGGGCTGTGCCTGGGCAAGGTGCCTGCCCAGTCACCTGATCTGATGGGAGGAGGAGAAAGGACTTGTGTGTAACTGGCACATGTTCTGCAGGATAAAAATAAGCCAGAAACCAAAAATGAAATCACCTGCAAAGCCTGTGCCAGGGCTGTCCTGCGAAAGGGGGTTTGTCCCTGGAGCTGCCAGTCTGCCACCTCCCCCTGTGCAAAGTTAGCAAGCCAAAAGCCCTGTGAGAGCTGTCCTGGGGGTGTCCAGCCCAGCTTATCCCAATGGAGAGGAGAGGAGAGACTTGAGAAGCCAGCGAAACCATGAACAGAGGGAGCTGGACTGGCCTGAGTGCCAGCTGCTTGTGCCCCATGTTTTTTGTGTTTTGCCTTATGAAATTTCCTCTCGAGCCTTTTGTTGTGGGCAGCAGCTGGTGGAAGGGACGTTAAGCTGCCTGAAAACCTGTCAGGGCTGGAGGAAGGAAACTGGAGGGGTTAGGAAGGAAGGTGAGGGCCAGTGTGGGAGCAGAATGTGTGTGACAGTGAGTGTGCTGGAGCTAGCTGGGGTGGTTTCTGCTGTGGGTGGTGAGAACCTGGTGTAAACTCAGCCCTCACACATGCCACCCTCTGAGTGTGTCCTGGCACCACTGGAAAGTGGCCCCTGTCAGACGTCAGGCACTTGGGTGCTGTTTTTCACCTGCAGCTGTGGCATCAAATGCCAAGCCCTGCTTGGCAGCTCTCCCCATGAAAAGAAGGTGCCTTCAGCCAAGCATGGGTGCTCCTGTGGCTTCTGCCCTCCCCAATGGTCTCTTCCCCCTTTGCTCTTCCTGCTCCCAGCACCCCAAACTCTCGGGTTGGGTGGAACACCCGCACCCCCTTTGTGCCTGCCCAGTTTGGGCATGTGGTGGGTGAGACCAGGCACAAGAGGCTCTGTCCCAGGAAGCTCTGGTGCTTTCCAGGTCTGTGTCCTCGAAGCAGGGTAGAGCAGCCCACGGGTTTGTCATGGGGCTGTAGTTGGTTTCGGTGCCTCTGGGGGGCACTGGAGCCCCCCGAAAGGCTGCGGGAGCCGGGCGGGCGGCCTGGCCACCCCCCGACAGACTATTAATAATGTAACCACCTGCTTAATTCTCCACAGCCCCTTCTGAGCAAAACCCAGCCTGGGTATGAGGGGCGCATGAGTAATGTGCAACTCCAGCAGCAGGAATGCAGAAAAGAGCTTAAACAAAAATATTTTCCACCTCCCTTCCTTCCCCCCCACCCCTCCAGCCACTGGTGAAGAAAACCGCTGCCACCAAAATCTATATAAAAACTCACTCATTCTGTCAACCTGACGGTTCTGGGAATGTAGGGCAGGTATGATCCCAGATCTGCCAGCTCCCATCAGAGCCTTGTGCTGTGCCTGGGTGCTGGGGCACTGGTTGGGAGCCTCTTGCAAAGCGCAGCGAGATGATAGTGGCTTTCTCAGGGTTGATCCGGATGAATCAAGCTGGCTTTGTGGGTATGGAGGTTTTCAGGGCTTGGTTTGGGGCTCAGCCAGGTCTCCCCACGTTCCTCGCCTTCTTCACCTGCGAAAAGCAGGTGAATCGGTTCCTCTTTGCTGCCCTGTGAACACCCCGAGGACTGAGGTGTCTTTGGGGTGACACTGATGCCAGGAGCAGTGCTGAGGGGGACCAGAGGTCTCCGTGCCAAGGAAGAAGCCGGGCTCCTCTTGCAGCTGCCCTGAGTGTCCCGACCATCCTTCCCTGGTTGTCACAGCTCTCTTGCTGTCCCCACCTCGCTGGGAGGGCAGTGGGGCGCAGGCCTTCCTCTCACCCCACCGTGGGGCTGTTCATCCCAGGGCTGGCATTGCAGCTGCACAGTCCCAGGGCTGGCTCTTCCCCCATCTGCTCCCAGAAGCCATCCTTGCCTGAGCTCAGCTCCTAATTTTGAACACCTCCGCTGCCCAGCACCCTCCCCTTCCACCAGCTTGGATTCCATCCTGCATATATTTGCCACACAGCATTTAAAATAGAGCCTGGCAGCCCACGTGTGGCACTGCACAGCCCGGCCTGTGCTTGTGCTTTCTGACTCCGGTTCCTGGCTTCCCTCTGCTCCTTGCTTTCCTTCAACATGAACTGGGGGAAAGCTCTCATCCTGCTATACTGTGAGTCCCATCCCAGGGCTTACTCCATGTATGGGCAAGGCATAGTGGCAGGAGGTTGGGAGGGGCGATCCTGGGAGCCCGTGGATGATGGTAAATGCCTCACCTTCATGCGTTTCTCCATCCAGCTTTTGTGTCTCTCCCAGGTGCTTCAGCCAGGTGTGCTCAGGGTGGGGCAGCTCTGGTCTGTACCTTAGAGACTAGCTGGGCAGGTGAAGTCTTTCAGTGGAGGATCTTTGGAGGTTTCAGTACCACCAGGGCTGGAAACAGGGCCAGTGGGACACAGAGCACTGGTGGGTGCTGGGTGGGCATGGGAGGGCATGCAGTTGTCTCGTCCCCAAGGAAGGTTTTGGCTGCTGCTGGGGGGGATCTGCCACAGTAACATGCAGAGCAGAACAAAACCCTGAGTTTCCATGGCCTCAGCCATTTGCCTTCTGCTGCCAGCTGAGGTGAGGAGGGGGCTCTTCGTGGCTCCACCACTGCCTTGTGGGGCCTTGAAGGAGACCCTCCAGGTCTTTCAGAGTGTGCAACCCTGGGAAGGGATTCCACTCATCCTGTGCACACAGGGCCACTGTGCCAAGGAAGGGAGCAGACAGGATGCTGTTGGGCCCCGGTGCCATGGTCCAGGTGAGCCAAGCTGCAGGGCCAGTCCCGCTGACGCTGCTCTGCCGTCCCCACAAGTGGGTTTTGGGCTCGGCAGTGACCTACAAAAATCCTTCGTGTATGCCCTGGTGAGCAGAATTGACTCAAATGCATTCATTAGTGAGCTGACTCCTGACGCTCCAGTTCTCTCCTGAGACCCACAGCTCCCATTCCCAGAGCCCCTAGACTTGGGGTTAACCCTTTGTGGGACACACCGGGAGCATCCCCGGGATGACAGAGCAGCACTCTGGGAAATTTCCATGAGGCTCCTGTGTGAATCTGATTCGACTTAGCAACGGCTTGGCTTTGCCGGAAGCCCAGATGGCGTTTTGTCGTTGCAAGGTGCCTGCAGGATGGGCTTCTTTGTGTGGCTGCATCCTCCTTGAGGTGCTGGGGACAGGAATTTCACTGCTGGTCACCCTCAGTAGGGGAGCAGGGCTGTGCAGAACAGCTGTTGCTGCACGCTGCTGACTTTGAGACCAGTTTTGTTTGACTGAGGGTGGGATTGTCCCAAACTTTCTCGTCTCAGGCATTGTCCAGGGAACAGGAGGAGACCCCTTAGGCTCTCAGCAGGTTCTGTCCGGCACTGTCCACACCAG